CACACACACACACAGACACGCTCGCCCGCCCACAGACGCAAACCGGGTACAAAGCTTTAATGCTTGCAGTGATGGATGCAAAATGGCGGCGCGGGTCGTAGCGCGCTATGATGGCATTATGACGTCACACGTTGGCGTGCCTAAAAGCCGGAAAAGGGGGGGGGGGAAGGGGGAGGCAACGAATCCCAAACAATAAATAAGAGAGAGGCGCAGGCAAAACATGTGCGTGCCACGCGAATTAGGGAAGTCCAGCAGTGACAACGGCCGGTCGCTCCGCAGACTGGTTCCGCGCGCCGAGGTGTCGCCGCCGCAGCCGTCTCTCTCGCACTCGCGGGGCGTCCCGCAGGGGTGCGAGAGGGACAGCGGCCACGGAGCTCTGCCCGGAACCGGCCCTGCCGGCTGACAGCGTGTAGCTCTGGGCGCGGCGGACCCCTCCGCCTGCCTCTGCGCCGTCCTGCAGACTGATTCCGAGAGTCGTTCTCGTCGTTCTGTCTCTCTCACACCCATGCGTGACGCCCCGCGAGTGCGAGAGAGACAGAGCGACGACAAACGACTCTCGGAATCAGTCTGCTGGGTCGCGGGGGGGACAGCGCCAAACGCACCGACGCCCCAAATGTAGCCTCCGTACCGAATTTACGGCGCGGGGTAATTTGTTTTATATGTTGTTCACAGCGGTTACGAGGCGGGGCGGTGTGAGTACTGGGGGAGGGGGTACGGTCAACACACACACACACACACACACAACACACACACACACACACACAAAAGACACACGCGCACAGAGGAAAAGGTCTAGTCCACAGAGGGTGCGGCCAGAAACCAACAAACATTATTACATTTTAATTGTGTTTGCTGTCGTACGGGGAAGTGAAAGAGCGGGATAAAACGGAAGAGATACCAGGAAAGAAAAGAGGAGGAAGGGGGAGAAGATGATGATGAAGGAGGGGCGGAACCTGCACGAGACGAGGAAGAAATTGGGAAAAGAAAGAAGAGATAGAGACGAAGATAGGAGGAGGGGAAGAAGAAACTAAGATGACCACAGCTCTGTGCCGCGGCAGCACGTCAACAGGCGTCGTCCAGCCGCTTCAAATTTTTCAAAAATAAAATTTTGACCGTTTTACAAGTCTGTCCTGGTTTTGGGGATCGTGCGCCAAAGATCAGACGCCGACCAGTGGTCCAGAAGGCAGGTGGAGGCGGCCGAAACTCTAGACGCGTTTTGAGCTCCTAAGTCACTGAATGGGACTCGAACCGAACGTGTATGATTTCACCAATGGATTGCTCTCCGGACGAGGAATCCATTGGTGGGGTCTCCCATTTGGCGACTCTGGAGCTCAAAACGCGTCCCGATTTTTGGCCGCGGGCGCCGGTCTTCTGGCCCACTGTGCCCCGAAACGTTTGACCCCCTCCCTTATAAACGGCAAGAAGCCTGACCATTGGATTTAGATTTACAGCGCAGCGGAAGGGAGAGGCATGCCGCCTGTCCCTTTTGATGGATGAGACGCCCCCGACTTGTTGGGATCGACGTGTGTCGAAAGAAGCGCGAAGGCTGGCAGAAAGAGCGCAACTCGACACGCTGACGGCAGTGCCGGCACACGGTAAAAGGCGGGACAGGTAACGACTTCCAGTGGCTGCGGAACGATGCCCATGTTTCGTGGTAAAACATGGAAATTTCGAACAACCGACGCAAGAAAAAAATAAGGGATTTACGCACAACAAAAGAAAAAGGTTCCTGCTTTTTGTTTTTCGGGGAGCTCCCAGCAGGGAATTCACAAAGGCTTTTTTCTTTTCGGGGATCCTCTTCCGGCAAATCCATCTACAAGGATTCCCGGGACTATCGATTCATTCCCAGGAAGACGGTTTACTCGCACGTTCGTAAATTTCGGATATTTATTTATTTTCACAGTGTGGTGCGGACGCAATGGTCACACTAGGCCCCCTGTTTGAGGAATCCGTCCACGACCAACGTTGGGCCGGGGCTGGGCCTGGCCTGTCGACTGATTCCGAGATTCTTTCTCGTCGCTCTGTCTCTCCCGCACCCGTACGGCACATCCTCCAAGTGCAAGACAGAGCGACGAAAACGACTCTCGGAATCAGTCCGTGGCGGCAGGGGTCGGCACACGTCTGTTGCAGGACTTTGGGCGGCCTCACAAGGTCAAGGGATCAAGTGCTTGTCGAAGGACGATTCGAGAGCGCTGCGGGAGAAGGCGACGCGCTCGGCTGGTCACAAGACGCGGCCAAGGTCAAGGGTGCCCGAAGGGTGCCCCACACACTGAGTGTCCCGCACGCGTCCTCAAGGAGCATACGCAGGTAGCCTCGCCTCCCAGGCCGCTTGGCAGCGGTGCTAGCACATTGTAAACAAAACCGAACGTAAACTAAAATAAGAAACAACTCCTTGTAGAGTCGGTTGAGGTAGTTTCGGGACACGGGGTAAAATGCGACATAGCTTGTCCCTTGACCAGATTTCACCATCACGCCACCCCAAAATATGATACTTTTATTGTAAAAATCACATGCATGAGTGCCAAACTGTCAAATCTTATCCAAGAAACAGCTGACCCATTTCTGCCCCGCGTCTCACAATCAGACCAACTAACCCCGTTGAATGAGAAAGCTTAGAAGTTTGAGAGCCACGTGAAGTCGTTCAAACCAGGAGAAAAAGCGGCCCACAGGCCCGAGGCTAAGAACGTTTCCGCCGACCAACCGCAAATATTTTAGGGAGAAAAAAAAGGCAATTTTACGTGTGACAGAGCTCACTCCTGCGCCTGGGGACGGGGCTGTCCTCGGTGGAAGGGGTTTATTGTTTTCCTATACATCGATGGATATGCCAGAATGATGAAAGTAAGAAACGCGATAATCCAGTCTCTCGAAGGGTTCCAAGCGAACTCGCAGCAAATCACTCGCGCGTGGTTCATTGAGACTGGAGGTTTGAGCACTCGAAATTTCGCACGAAAAAAACGTGTGCACAGTGTGAAAAAATTTAAGTGGTTTATGTTTCAAAATATGTCGAGCTGTTGGAAAGAATTCGGCATTGTTGCTCATCACATGTGCTTCAGAGCCGCAATTTTTAGTTTCTGTTCGCAATAGGAAATATTAACCTCGGAAAACACTGTAAGTACAAAAATTTTCAGAGTATTTTTTTTTGGTTGGCTTGTGTCAGTGTTGTTCTGACATGACTTGAGTGAACCCTGAAACGTGCCGTCACTTGTAAAACAAGGAAAATTATTCTTTGATACACTGCACTGCAGCGATAGGGGCCGCCATCATCAGTCACTCGCCGGCCGGACTTGGACAATAAACCCTTTTGGAGGGGAGGGGAGTCAAAGGGGGAGGGAGAGGGAACAGAGAGAGAGAGGGAGGGGGAGGGAGGGAGAGAGAGGGAGAGAGGGAGAGAGAGAGAAAGGGAGAGAGGGAGGCAGAGGAGAGAGAGAGGGAGGGAGAGAGAAAGAGGGCGAGAGAGGGGAGAGAGAGAGGAGAGAAGAGAGAGAGGGAAGAAAAAGAGGGAGAGAGGAGAGAAGGGAAGAAAAGAGAGGGGGAAGAGAATAAGAGAGGGAGAGACCCCAGGGGGGAGGGAAGAGAAAGGGAGGGAGAGGGGAGAGAGAGAGAGAGGAGGGGAGAGAGAGAGAGAGAGAGAGAGAGGGGGAGAGGGGGAGAGAGAGAGAGAGAGAGAGAGAGAGAGACGAGGGCAGTAGGGGCATCAATGTGGGTGGCAGGCAGCGCGGAGAAGGCCTTTCGGGGACGCACGCCCTGCAGGGCCTGGCGGGGCCCGGCTTCGCCCGGCCGAGGCGAGGCCCCGGTCATGAGGCGCACGTTCGTTCATCCCCTGACAGCTGCTCGTTGTCCGGCGCGGCCCCGGCCTGCAGGCCGACTCCCCACCACGTCGCTCCGTCTCTCTCGCACCCCCACGGGAAGCCCAATGGGTGCGAGAGAGACAGAGCGACGCCAGCCTGGCAGGGCCCGGGCTGCTCATGGGCAGGGCGGGCGGGCCGCAGGCGCCCGAGAAATAATGCTGGAGCGAAGGCAGCCGACTGATTCCAAACCGGAGTTCTCTCTCTCGCTCTCACGGGGCGCCCCGCACGAGTGCGAGAGAGACAGAAGGCCGCCCCTCGGACGCAGCCTGCAGCACAAACACGCGGCAGCCTCCCCCGAAGGGACGCACGCCCTATATGATCTCACCTGCCTGGGCCTGGCCGGGCTCGGGCCCACACTGCCTCGCCTCTGCCCCGGGCAAAGTGTGTAGTTGAGACGTGTCGAAGACAGATTGGCCCCCGGCTCGGGTAGTGGGGTCCCCGCGGAGCGAACACATCGCAAACTTAAGTCGGGCAGACGAAAGGAAACAGGGGAAAAAACAAACAGAGGGACGCCGCGGCGGCGCGGGGACCACGACGGGGATGTTGACGTTACGTAACGAGGTAACGACGGTGTTCCTCCAGCGGAGCGTGACGCGGTGACGACGAACAGGTTGACGTCACGTGACGAGGTAACGACTGTGTTCCTGGCGGAGCTTGACGCAATGCAGCAACGACAGAGACTCCACATTCCGTAACGGGGTAACGACTGTGTTCCTGGCGGAGCTTGACGCAATGCAGCAGCGACAGAGACTCCACATTCCGTAACGAGGTAACGACTGAGTTCCTGCGAGAGCGTGTCGCGACACCCACTGCAAAAACGGTTCCCGATTTTCGCAGGAAGTCCATAGTAGAGACATAAGCGATTTTCAGAAAACCACGAACGGTTTTTAGACGTGTCGTCGCAGTTACTAGGAGGAAAGTAGCTCCATAGCGGAGGGGTTTGCACTTGGATGACTCCAATGTAGACTGCTCGGTAATACTCCATTGGTAAGTTTGCTTCCCACTCCAGTGACGCCAAAATTTGGCCTTTAGGCCCAGGAACATTTTCTCGACAGAAAATTTCCAAAGGCACTTGAAGTGGAGACCGAGAGACACAGCGGTTCCCTCTCTCGAAGAAGACGAGTGTTCGACAAGTATTGACGCTCGACTCACATTGTGGAACCAGTTGAGCTTCCGGAGCGGCGGGTTGGCGTGGACGATGCACTCGAAGTAGACATCGTCGCCCTCCTTGATGTCCTCGCGGCTCAGGGACAGGCCGAGGCGCAGGGACACAATGGGGGCGTCTGCAACAGCGCAGCGGATGGCGGTGAAAAACGATCCCATGCACGTAAGTCGGGGTTCAAACACCCGCTACTCCCCTTCCCGTATTTACAGTTTCCTTGGTTTTTTTTCTATCTTTCAAAATTTTCTATTAATTAAAAATTTATATTCTTTACAATTTCTTCTCTTCAAATTTTCTACTCTTTGAACAGTCAATTTTTTGAAAATTTGTATTCTTTGACATTTTCTACTCTCTGACATTTTCTAATCTCTGACATTTTTAACTCTTGGAAATTTCCTACTCTTGGAAATTTCCTTCTCTTGGAAATTTTCAACTCTTGGAAATTTTCTACTCTTATCAAAATTTTCTTCTTTTTGACATTTTCTACTCCTTCAAATTTTCTTATCTTTGGAATTTCCACTCTTTAGAACTGTCTTTTTTTTCCTTGAGAAAATTTCGCTTCCCTTGTTGGTTTTGGCCGAAAGAGGCAGGGTGTGGACACTTACAGACGACGTCGAGCCGCCACGACGTCTCCACGAAGAGGCCCGTCGTGTTGGGGTTCTCCGCGCGGCACGTCAGCTCCTTGCCGTTGTCCTCCACGGCCGGCGTGAAGGTCAGGTGCGAGACCGTCACGTTGTCGCGCGCGTTGTCCACCTGCAAGGACAAGCACGATAAAGCAGCCGCTCCCCACAGACAGTAACAACAACAACAACAACAACAACAACAACAACAACAACCACACCACCACCACCAACGGATAATACCTCTAGCCAAATGTACAGAACAAAATTCACGGAAAATTTGAAACTTATTAAAATTTATCGAAAATCTTCCCAAAATTCAGAAGTTTTTGCCCGAAGTTCATCGAAACTCAACTTAAGTTCATTTGATTTGTACACCGAAATGCAAAGTAGTTTTCTCTTGACAACAACAACAACGTTGCCGGTGTCACGTCATACACCCCAAAAAAAAGGAAAACTATAACAAAGTGGAAGTTCAAAATTTCCTTGTTACGATTCCTAATTGCTTGTTCCCTTTTCAGGGTGAGGTGGATTGGCGCCACCTAGTTTAACCTGCGCCAAATGTTGAACGTTTGGCTTCGCAGAGACCCGACGCCGACTGCCGCGCCGCCCAAACTTGGTCTTACAGTCCCACTCTCCCCCACGCATGTAAGGCGCCCCGCTGTTGCCGGTCTCTCGGGGCGTGTCTCTCTGCCGAGGCCGCGGGCCTTGCCGCCCCACCGCCTTCGAGAGGGTGCCGAGCCGGCTGGGGTACCGCCAGTCATAATGAACCGTTCCCCGAGTGTCAGGGCACCGCGACAGCGGGGCCGGCGGGGCGGTGCACGCGAAGGAGTACACGCGTCCCGACACCTCAGCCCCTCCATTCGTCAAGCGCCTTCCGGGAGGGGGAGGGGGGGGGGGGGCGTACCGTACTCAGCCCCGGTGTAAAGAGCGCCCCCAATTTGCTCGCCTGGAAGGAAGAGGCGTTTCTGGAATGCAGGGAAACCCGGGACAAAGCGGCCGAGAAACGTGACCGAGCAAAAAAGAAAAAAAGGGGGAAAAAAAGAGGGGAAAAAACGGGGGCACAAAAAAAAACAAGAAGAAGAAGAATGTAGATGCGTGCGGTCGGGAGCTGTGGGTACGGGCCTGCTGCGGATTCAAAGGTCTCTAAATCCACCAAACTGACTCCCTCTCGGTCCCCTCGGGGGACCGCCGGATCGCGCGAGCCACACGGACTCGAGCCCCCTTCACCGTACTCACGGCGCCCACCTCGTCCCCATTCTCGGCCCCATACGCAGCGTGACCCCGATAATAGTGGCGCACTCTGGACGCAAGCATGCTTAAAACCTTAAAAGGTACTTAAAGCATTTGAAAGGTAGAAACTAATCAGAATGTTACCCCTTCCTGTCCCCCGGTGCGTCCCGAATTTTGCACTTGGTTTCCAGCAAGAGGACCCTTCAACCAAACACATTTTTCAGAGCCCCCCTCCCCCCCCATGCAACATGGAACATTCCGCCTTCCCGCGGCATTCCAGACCGACTCTTCATGCAACGGCGTAGTCGATGCACTGTCGATGCATAACCGGTGGCATGCAGACAAGACACGGCCAGATGGCGTGGCGGGCCGGTCGACACACTAAATGTTTCGGTGGACTTTGCGGTCCATGCAACTGCAACTTGCACAATTTTGAGCAAACGAGGAATTGAACAATATAATACGTAAAAACGCATGAATTTATGCAAATTTAAGCACAATTCTGTCCAGGCACAGGTGCACGGGTTTAAAATCACGCAACACCACGCACAAAATTGTACATATAATTGTGCACTGATAGAAAACGAAACCGCACTTTTACCACTTTTACGCCAAGCGCAGTGGTTGGTACGCTCGGCTTCGAGCGTAGTTCTCCGTTCCGACCCTCTCCCGCGGCTGGCACGCCCAACATGGTGCGGCACTCGCTCCGGCCAGTGTGCGAAGGCGGAACCAGTAGTCGGATATAGAATCCGCCGCGTCGACAGTTGCAGCGGAGGGCGCACGTGCGCGCATCATTTCAACACTTTGTCCCCCCCCCTCCCCCTCACGCACCGCCCCTTTCCCGCCCCCTGGGACCGCCCCTGGGACCGCTCGGGTACCGGGGTCCTTCGGGTAGCGCGGCACGTGAAGGCCTTCAGCTCGGAGGATGAGGGTCGGGTAGGGGTAGGAGTGGTAGAGGGGAGGGGCTGGTAGGGGCAGGGGCGAGAAAAGGGGGTAGGAGGGGGCGGGGCAGCGCTGTGGGGCGACTGGACCAACAGAGGGGGCCATAAATTGGCCAGATTGCCCCCCAGAGAGGCTCCCTTCGGCCCGGCAGTCGGCGCGCATATCGACAGTCGTACCCCCTTTCCCTCCCCCGCCCCTTTCCCCTCCGGTCGTACAGCGGTCCCCGCGTGTGTCCGGCCGCGTGCCGCTTGGCGCCTGCAGACTGATTCCAGGCGAGCTGCCCCGTCGGTCTCTGTGAGAAGAGAGAGAGAGAGAGAGAGAGAGAGAGAGAGAGAGAGAGAGAGAGAGAGAGAGAGAGAGAGAGAGAGAGAGGAGAGAGAGAGAGAAGGAGAGAGAGAGGGTACCGCCTGGAATGAGCCTGCTGCTTCCCGCGGCGCCACGCCGACCGTCCACCCCGGGGGACGACACCCGCTGCCTCCCCCCCCCCCCTTTTCTCCCCAGGACCGCCGTTCACCCAAACGCTCTTCACTCCAGTCGCCCACCGATCACTTTAGTCCATCCCCTTTCACCCCGAACCCGGTCACTGGGAACCCGCATTCGTCAGAGATATCCGAGGGTCTGCTCTGAACCATTTTTGTTTTCCTTTCTCCCTCACCCTAAACGTCAAGAAAGTCCAAGATGGAATTGAGGGCGAAGCATCTAAAAATCTAAGGTGTTACTCAAGTTTTAGAAAAATTTTAATTGTTGTCAACTTGTTTGTTTTCGGGCCTGCCACTGCTTTATACATTGTATAATGTTATCCTTTTCTGCATGGGGCTGGCTCGTTCGTTGACCCTTCGAGTTTTCGCAGCATCGACTCCAAGCAAAAGCTCGAATAAAATAAAAGGCACAGAAAAACAGCGGAAGTTGATACAAGTATACAGCAGCATGAAGACCTCAAAAGTTTAAAGGCCAACTTTTGGTTAATTTTGTTTGCTTGTCTTTATTGCTAGATCTCTCTCTCTCTCTCTCTCTCTCTCTCTCCACACACACACACACACACACGCATCTCCCTCCTCCCTCAGCCCCAGCTTGAATTCACCCCCCCCCCCACCTCCGCAGCCCACTTACAACACGACCCCCTCCACCCCCAACCCCCATTCCCCGGCCAGGCCCTAGACCCACTACAAATCACTGGGTTAGTGCAAGTGGTATAGTCCGTCATGGATATAAAGGCCCCCCGGTGCAGTGGAGGCCCAGCCACCCAGCCCCTCGGCCGTCACACCCGAGGCGAACCAAAAAGCTTGATCCGGGGCCGAGGCGCCGAGGCGGGCAGCACTCCCAACCGCCTTCCAGCGCTGCAGACTGATTCCGAGAGCCGTTTTCGTCGCTCTGTCTCTCCCACACCTATTCGGGACGCCCTGTGAGGGCGAGAGAGACAGAGCGAGGAAAACGACGTCTCAAGGAATCAGTCTGCTACGGCGCGTCGAAGCGGGTCTCGGTTCCTGGAACGCGTGGCAGCGAAGCGAGCGCAGCCCGGTACGGCGGACGCTACGCTGTATCCAGGGCGAGGGTATTCGCCATTTTATTAGCCCAGCAGCAACGGGCGTGGCGAGGCGTGGCGAGGCGTGGCGGGGCGGGGCGAGGCGGGGCGTGGCGGGCGGGTGGCGGGGCGGGCGAGGCGGGCGGGGCGGGGTGGCGGGGCGTGGCGGGGCGGCGGGGCGGGGCGGGCGTGGCGGGCGTGGCGGGGCGGGGCGAGGCGTGGCGTGGCGTGGCGTGGCGGGCCGCGGCTTGGTTACCTCTCGCTGCTGCACTGTGCGCTGCTGCCCGTATCCCGCCATTACTTTTAACCACCACAAACATCGCGCAAGCATTATCACGATTATTATTACTATTTTTCCGCGCAGCTCTGCTTTAGAACAAAAAAAAAACACGAAGAAACCAAAATAGCGGGATGAGCGCGAGTCGCGGGGATGCAGGTGGAGCGCGTCCAGGCATCGGCATCGGGGAGAAGTGCAATGGAGCAGTCTGCACCGCGTGAGAAAAAGTTTTGCGCCACTAATTTGAAATAACGTGCCAAAACGCACAAAAAACGTCAACATACGAAGCGCTTTGAATTATTTCCATTCTTAGCAAGTTTCCGGCAGTAACAAAAATCTCTCAATTTTTTTAACTTTTTTTTTTGGGGGGGGGGGGGCAGGAAGCCTCTGGAAGTTTTCTCACGGAGCTTCGGGACGCACTTTTCCAGTGTACACAAAATAGGTATACGAAGGGGCGAAGCTATTCCGCAAACGATACCAATAAAGCATAACGCGCAGGGGAAAAGGAGGATACAACAAAAACGGAGGTCACTATGCAGCGGGGCATGCTGCGATGCGCCATCGGGACCTTTATAAACGGGGGGGGGGGTGGGGGGAGGGGGGACTACAAAACCATGCCACGCTTAGCAATAAGAGTAATGCTCCGGCCTCAAGTAGCCTGCACTGGAAGACGCCGGGATTAGGGCGGGCAGGGCCCCGCAGGGGGGAGGGCTGCAGGTACACCCCGGTACACCCCCAACCCCATACCTTGCCCACACTGATTTAAGGCTCGGCGCCCTGCCCTCCGCGGGGGCGTACTCGTAAGGCTTCGACCAGGCTCCGCCACGCCCCGCCACGCTCCACCACGCCACGCCCCGCCACGCTCCAGCCCGCAACGGGTGCCCCGAACTTTGTTTCAATCAGTCGCCGCCGCAGCCGCCTCACCGCATTCGTGGAGGCGAGGAGCCCCGCGTGTCGAAACGTGCCCGAGCGTGGCGTGGTAGAGCGTGGCGGAACGTGGCGGGGCGGGGCGTGGCGGGGCGGGAACGTAGTGGAGCTTGAGTTTGGCGTGGCGGGTCGGGGCGGGGCGTGGCGTGGCGGGGCGTGGCGGAGTAAATCAACCGATATCAGTGGCGGCGCGTCCCGCCGATGCCTTGGCTGCTCCCTGCAGACTGATTCCGAGAGTCGTTTCCGTCGCTCTGTCTCTCTCGCACTCTTGGGGCGTCCCGTATAGGTGCGAGAGAGACAGAGCGATGAAAACGACTCCCTGGAAGCAGCCTGCTGCTGGGCCACTATCCGAAGCGATTTCATATTTCCCGTCCAAAACGAATCACGATGCCCTTGTTGAACGCGCGCCTGCAACGGATTTCAACGATTACGAGACTCGTTTCGTTCGCTCTGTCTCTCTCGCACTCACTGGGCGTCCCGTGTAGGTGCGAGAGAGAAAAGGATGTACACGATCTGCCTCGAGCCTGCGCGGGGCCCACTATCCGAAGCGATTTCATATTTCCCGCCACAAACAGAATCATACGACTGACACGGCTTTTCGAACGGCGAGCGCCTCCGCGAACCGCGAGGTTCCTGCAGACTGATTACGAGACTCGTTTCGTTGCTCTGTCTCTCTCGCACTCATGGCGCGTCCCGTGTAGGTGCGAGAGAGACAGACTCTCAGTCTGCCACGCCGCGCGTGCCGTTCCGTTATTGGCCGAGGCCTGCATATTCACAGCAACAAAACACAAAGAACTTCGCGCCAACAACAACATTGACTCTTTGACTGGCCTGGGCCTATTCGGCAAAAGGTTTGTATTGGAGCGAAGTTGCGGAGGGCGAGCGCGGCCGGCCAGGCGGCCAGCCACGCAGCCAGCCAGCCAGGCGGCCAGCCAGCCGCGCAGCCAGCCAGCCACGCAGCCAGGCGGCCAGCCACGCAGCCAGCCAGCCAGCCGGGCAGCCCGTACACACCAAAGGGCTCAACCAACAAGGCCTCCCCCACCGAAAGAAAAAGTAATTAGAATGCTATTAGCTGTCCCCGATGGGGAGTATAGGGAAGAGCTTAACAGAAAGAGCAACTGGAAAGAGCGGAAAGCACTGTAAATATTTAGACTAACGCGCCGAGCGCGTTGCCAACTTCAGCAGCTTTTAAATTGCATTCCGAGTGTCCAAATCCGGCCCCCAGTGTTCCTGCGGCCGGTATGGACGAGGCGTACGGCACAATGGGAGGCGCCGTGGGGAAAGAGAGAAAAAAAAAACGCACACACACTGCGAAAGAAGAAGAGAAAATAGAGGTACTTGCGCAATTTCTTTCATGACGCTATTGGATATTTTACTTAAATTTCGTTACAGTTGCGTGGAATTGCGGTTGGAGAAATAGAAACAAAAACAAAGGGTTCCTTTGGCAGGAGACCGGTCACAGCACTCTCACGCTGTCCTAACACTGTAAGAATTGAGGGAAAGAAATCGAGAACATATGGAAAGTTTGCAAAGGTTCCTCTGTAAGAAAAATGCTTCCAAAGGAACCCGCGTTACGAGAAACCTTTGTAAAATTGCCAAGTTACGTCAGGTAACAACGCTTCCCTTCACAACATTTTTTTCCAGAGATACAGTGCCTTCGTAAATTTCCGAAGATGTTTAGAATGGAATTGAGGACAGCGAAAAGAGAGCTCTCAAACTTGGAACCAAAGACGAAAGGGAATGGCGCAGCCTTACGAACCGTGCTCCGATATGAGGTCTCTAAAAGAAAACCGCTAAAAAAAAGAAGGAACATTTTGTATTAGTTTGGGACTTTACGTTAGTCTTCTTCAAGAAGCACGTTGCTTGACCACCCGGAATGGGGCGGCAGGCGGCCTGGAACCCGGCCCGGGGCTCAGTAAGCCGCCTTTTAACTGGTGTCGGCCTTTAGGGCGTTGCCCTTGGTGATGAGGCAGGCGGGCCGGAGGCCGCCACTGCAGGGCCAAAACGGTGTCGGCCGCACCCTCAACCCCTCCACCAAAAAGCTGAAAGGAAACCCAAACCCCCAAACACAGCTGAAAAAAGTTCCGTAAAAATTTTCGTAGGAAAAATGTACAGACGAAAATAGTACGGAAGTACGGAAAAAAATACGGAACGTCCGTACTTGTCCCATAAGAACTCGTGTAATCGAGGACGGAAAAAAGGTACGGAAGTTCCTTTGTAGGACAGGCAAATTACTGACCAGACATGCTCCGTACTTTTTCCGTACTTTTTTCTCGCAGTGTGTCAGGAGTCGGATTCTTACGCGTTGATCGGTTCAGGTGTCGCGTTCGAGAGTGAAACGACTCGTTAATTTTAGTGCGTTTTTTTTAGCTTTTTTTTTCAAGAAAATTTAAGCAAGTTTTTCGTTATTTGATGACATTTTACACAAAAGTTCCAGTGATATTAACCTTATGTGATTTGCACTGTATTCTTCATTATTTTTCACGACTTTCTAACATTTCTTGTCATCTGACTTTTTTTTTATTTATTTTTTTTTGTATTTTGTATTATATTTGTGTTTATCGTCGGTATGAGTTACTTCCTCTCCAATCCTGTTCGTTTTCTACAGAGTCTCTGGGGCGAAGGAACCAGGGCAAATCTCCATAGACGCCGATGACATACAAGGCGACACTTCACCGCGTGCTGCGCCACGGCAGCGCAGAGGTTTTAGCAGTTTGGTTTACATAAAGTGATTGTTTGTGTTGGAAGGGAATAGCATAAACCGTAATAAACAGAGGCAAGCACGCGCAGTGGACGCATTCGTGGAACGTAAATTGTGACACGATTTTGACGGTTCTGCGACATTGTGCGAAGGTGGAGAATTATAAGCAAGTGAGTTAACCTAACCTAACCCTGCACCCTAAAAACCTAAAACAAGTTGATATATATATTTCAAGCTACAAGCTTATATATAAGCTACAAGCTCACAAAGAAAATACTTTATGATTTGATTTTTTAGTTCGTTTAACAGATTAAATAGGCTGTACCTTAACCTTACATATGGTCAAAATACTTCATAAGCTTTTAACCACATGGCAGGTTGGGATGGTTCTCTCAGGAAGCGGTTGGTCGAAGTGTGTTCACAGCTGCGTAAAACTTCGCTCCAGAAATTGAAAACACAATTGCGTGGGGTGTGTCAATACCAGGGTCGAGAGCCGCTGGCTGGCTCCGCTCACACACTGGCCCCCTCACGGACACACACACACTCACACACAGTCATGTCGTTTCTTTGCAGAGGGACGCCCGCCCACGTGCAGTGCACGTCCACGGGCATTTTTCAGCGGCCAGATATTTGATTTCAATTTGTAGCGCGGGGCGACGGCTGTGCCCCCCCCCCTTTCTTTTTCCCCCCGACAAAAAGCGCGTTGTTCGGCCAAGTTTTTCACTTCGAATCGATATGGAGTGAGGCCGGGAAAGAAACGGAAACAAATCCCTTCTTGGCTCGGCCGGGCCCGCCCCGGCCGCGCGGCACAGCACAGGCACAGCCCAGGCACAGCCAGCCGCGTAAACTTTACGGTCTTGTTTGTCGCCATCTGATATTGTTGTGTCGGCGCGAAATTCCGAGGGGCCGTTTTAAGGCGGCCGAGAAGTCGACGGCATCCTTACGGGCCGCATGATTTTTATTCATTCATTTTATTTTTATCATTATTTTACGCGCACGCGCGGCGGCGAGGCGAGGGGCGCGCCTGCCCCCGGATGTTTCTTTGGTTTCATAAAACGGTTTAGAGCCACTCATCCGTCTCCGCGTTTTCTTGAGCATCTCTTTGGGGAACTCAACTTTGGTTCGGAACAAAACAAAGGAGGGTCTGCGCAATAATTAAGCGGCACGACGCGTTAAGTGCGCCCTCGGACTGCTTCGGAATCGTGTTTTCAATTCCCGGGATGCTGCGATGCTTCGCTTGGGCCGAGAAGCAGTAAGGGAACGAAATAAGCGCGTTTTTTAAAGTCCCACACATTATACCACAATTCCAGCCAAATGTGTACACCGACGTTCATCAAACATGTAAAATTCATCGAAATTCGACTAAAGTTCATTGAAATTCGACTAAAATTCATCAAAATTCGACTGGAATTCATTGGGTGTGTACACCGAATTTCACAGTGATTTTCCATTGCATCATACAGCCAGAACCAAACAAGACCTCACACTCTAAATGCCTTAGAAAGAAATTTGAGCATTGTGACAGGGCATTCGGCGCAAGCATTACACGAAGCAAAATTTCTGCATAGCATGAATATTTTTGGATAGTCATTGTAAGATGCAAAGCCACCTTTGTGACACGAGGAAAATAAAAACTTCGTTGATAGACTTGCGTCATTTCCTTCCTACAGACAAAATGTCCTCGGAAGACATCCACACACTTAATGTTTAGGCACTTTTTATTTCCATAACTGTCGCCATATTAGTGCATACTCAAGCTATGTACTTAAGGTACAACATTTAAATATTTTGCTTCAGTAATGGTATCTAATTTATGTACGAATTTGTGAATAACTTACATATCCTTAAATATGGCAACCGTTATGGACAAAAAGTCCGTTGGAATCTCGCGTTCAGAGTGCGATTCGACTCGACACGCATGCAACTGCAGTTGAAATGGAGGACTCACAGTGCAGGTCGAGGCGCAGCGAAGTCTGCCGCGGCTCAGTCAGGTTGGTGTTGACGGCCTGGCAGACGAAGACGGCGTTCAGGTCGGCCCTCGACACGTTGGTCTTGGTGTAGTGGTTCTCGATCACGTCCCCGGCGTTGGACTCGGACGTGTCGTCGACCACCGTGCCGTTCACCAGCCACCGCACGCGCGGCTGGGGCTTGCCTGCAACGAGGAAAAGAAGGGCACTTTTGAATAACGAGACTAGCAGGGAACATTCACAGCGAATGAAGACTGAAACGGTGGAGAAGTCGAAACGATAAAAACGAAACAATCACTTTCAAGTAGTGTAGCTCGGCCTCGTCAGAGGTCCCGTCAACGATTCAGATCAGAATACATGACTCTAGGAGACTTCATGATAAATTATTCTGAAGAACACTGAGATTCCAAACGCTAGCACGTATGGTGCAATACAGCTGAGATATCGCACCATACGTGCAATGCGATAGCCATATTGCGCCTTACGTGCGATGCGTCCCGAAAATGCCCTATGCTAACGCATGGGAATGGGCAGGTATTGCACTTCATGTGCAATGCTTTTGCATCGCACCAATTGACGCTATACACATACCGTTTCGATTCTCAGTGAATGCCTCATCGTTCTCTCATCTCTACGGGTCACCACGTGCGACAAGTTCACAGTTTGGAGTCTACCAGTGTTTTGACCAGACTGCGCGCCGGGATTAAGTGTCACCTTAGTAAGGACAGCCATATCTCGTTTTGCAGTGCAGGCGGGCGTGTGTCGGGCTCGAATTGGCATACGATCATGGTCTAGCCCTTAATGGTAATTGCAATGGTGCGCGCCTGTGAATCGAAGGATAGGCCATCCGCACGACACGTGTGCGCTGAAGGGCCAGCTGTTGCCTACCTCGCAGGCGCCATGGCCAAGCAGTGCATAACAACGATCTTCACCTCATAATCGTTTAATTTTTTCACGCTCGCTTAAATATTGATCCAGGTTCAAAAGAATGCGCAGTCATACTCAACGAACTTATAACAAAGTCACATTTTAACGAATATCGCGTCACATTCGTAGAAACAACAGTGCTACCGAGGCCGCTGCCACACGTCAGCCAAGCCATCTCTATCTAATTCGCCGCCTGCTTGCGAGGCGCCACACAGTGGGCCAGAACACTGGTAGAAGGCAGCCAATATTCTTGACGTTGGTTGAGCACCAGAGTCGCTAGGCAGGGCTCGAACCGAACGTGTGACCTCACCAACGGATTGCTCTCCGAACGAGGAATCCACTAGTGGGGTCACAAGTTCGGTTCGAGCCCCGCATAGCGACGCTGGTGCTCAAAACGCGTCTGGCATTCCGGCCGCCTCCACCGGTCCTCTGGCCCACTGTGCGCCGCGGTGACTGCCGCAGCACGCCACTACTATGCACGGCGTGCCAGACGACCCAGCCGCTCTCGCTTGGGCGATCACCCGAGGGACTCGAACCCCAATCTACATGCCGGCAGGCTGATTCCGAACGGGGCTTTGTCGCTCCGAGTCTCTCTCATCACACCCACCCCTGCGGGCCGCCCTCGAGTGCGAGCGGCAGCGGCGCGACGAAAGCTCTGTCCGGAGTCAGACTGCTGGAGGCCCCCGCCACTCCTCCAGGCTAATTGACGGCCCGGGTTCAAACCCCGGCCGTGTGAGCACATCACGTTTTTCGTTTTTCGTGCGCTATTTCCCTTTCTTCTCTAGTCTCTTCAGTCTCTCTCTCTCTCTCTCTCTCTCTCTCTCTCTCTCTCTCTCTCTCTCTCTCTCTCTCTCTCTCTCTCTCTCTCTCTCTCTCTCTCTCTCTCTCTCTCTCTCTCTCTCTCCTTTTTGTGCGCCTTGGCGCGGTGGCCCTGCTTGACGTGTAAATGTGGCGCCTGCAGTCTTTTGTCAGGCGGACGAGGATTGGTGGTCCAGATTGGCCGGCCTGCGCGGCCTGCGGTCTGATTCCGAGCGAGGCCGCCGCCTCTCTCGCACCCCAACGGGGCGCCCCGCGAGTGCGAGCGAGACGGGCAGAGACGCGGCTTGCCCTGCTTTGCGTCGCCTCGTTAGAGGGAAGGCCCTAAGCCCGGGCCGCCGGCCGCAAGCACGACAGAGCTGCCCCTTTTTTTACCTCGTCTTCTTCCACCTCCGCGGCGCGCGTCTCTCTTCCTGGTTCTTTCCTGGGGATCCTCGAGGACTCGGCGCGCGGGGCGGAGGCGGGCCGCCTCTCGTATGCACTCCACGTATCGTGGCTGGCCCGGCCCGTCCCGCCCAGGCCAGGCAGGCAGCCCCGGCCAGGCCTTGTACTTGTCCAAGACAGTCCCCGACCCGACCCCAGGCCGTCCGCCGTGCGGCACGCCAAGGCACGCCACGCCACGCCGTGCCCCGGACCCGGAATCGCCCCCCAAATCCCCACAGGAGCCGAGCACGGCGGCCCCGCCCCGCCCCACCCCGCCCTGCACGACTTGTCTTCCTCCAGACAGGGTCAGGATACCAAAGCAGCCGTGGAGGCAAAACCAAATGCCTTCGTTCTTTGTGTCGATGAAACATTCACGGCGCCCCGGACCCGGCGAGGGCCACGAGCTACACTCTCAAGTCTTAGGGCGAAGAAATTTCCCGTGATTTGAACACTCTGAAAGCCTTACAAGATATTATAGGCCTTACAAAAAAAAACAAGCTTTTAATGATAAATTATTTTGAGCTACAAAGAAAGTACTGCGCAATTTACGAACTATTTCATCGTTTAACAATCTAGATAGTTTTGTACCTTACAGATGCTCTTATACTAATGTTTTAAGCACGAAGGAAACGGCGTAAGCATCGTTCGAACATCCTTTTCCTTTTTGTCACGATAGGTTTTACTCAGTTTCGCACAATGAAAATCTGAAAAGGGTTCTCATTGTGAAGGAATAATGCTGTGTATTATGCTTGCGTCGAATTCACTGTACACAAAATTACTATAAGGTTTCTAGTGCAGAAGCTTTGCACGCAATTGTGCGTATATTCTAAATTGCACGAATGTGTGCGTTGTTGCGCTCGAATTCGTGCGTTTCACGCGCATTCTCAGTTCTGTGCAAAAAACTGTGCACAAAAATACTGCGTAATGCAAGTGTTTCACACTCTCAAAACCTTGCAAACCAGCTGTAACAACAGCATACATAAGCTTTTATCGAAAACATTTCGTTAGTCACGGACTAATTCTTCGAACAAGATACTTTAGTGGTTTGTACTTTACAAATTCTCAAAAGGTTTCAAAAGGTTTTCAGTTTGTGGTAAAATCAACACCATCCCACCCCGGCAGCCAGCCCCTATTATATGGTTTTTGGACTCTCGAGTACAAGCTGACACCTTTATGTGTCTTGTAGTTGTAGTTTTAGGTATGTTTTTAAGTAAAGGTATCATCTGCTTAAAACATTTGCAGACATTTAGAGTGTAGGAGGAAAGAGCCCCCAGGCCGTTCAACAAAGACACAAGAACAACACGTGCCTTGCTTCGTTTCCCGGCGGTCAACCAGAACTTTCGACGACATTCATGGTTTCGGGAACACGTCCCCGGCAGTGCACGGCAGCAATATTGAAACCCGCAGCAAGTTGCGATTGCTTTCGCGGCAAGTGAAACAAACGTAATCGACTTCAGTCCCGTGCCAGCACACTGCACACAGACTTCACTACAGCATTCTCCGATTGCCTTCACCGTCGACTTAAAACAAAAAAGATTTCCCTTAATTTAAATTCGTGACCAGCGTTAATACCAGATGAGCCCTTTCTCCGCCCCTGTAATTGGCCGGTCTAATGCGGTTCTTACTCAGGGCCTGGCTGTCGCCGTGAGAGAGAGAGAGAGAGAGAGAGAGAGAGGAGAGAGAGAGAGAGAGAGAGAGAGAGAGAGAGAGAGAGAGAGACGTAGGGCTTTTTCCCGACCGTGCGTCGCTCCCGGCGAGTTTTGATGGTGTGTATTTTTTGTTCCGCCCCGGACAGGCAAGGCACGGGCCGATGGAAGGCAGCGAAAAAGCGCGGTCCATTGCCGCGCAGCGGTAGCGCATTTATTCACATTATACGTAACGAAATAACGCAACGACTTTGTTTTAGCGCGGCTACATCGTTAACCGCAATGAAATTTAGAGGCTGGCGGTGCATTTCTTCATTTATTTGCACGTCCGTTATGCTGTGAGTATAAATCTCGGGAATGAGCGGAGGTACGTACCCCTGGTGGGGCAAAAAAAGTTGCCGAAGGAACTTTGGTAAATTAGCGAAGATTGTTCGCAATTGCACGAAGGTTATTCGTTACTGCACGAAGACTATTCGTAATGACACGAAGAGTAATCGTGGTGACCGAAAGAACATTCATGGTAATTTGCACGCGAATATTCTTCGTGGTACCACGAAGATTCTTCGTCAGTTCATAAATGAACCTTCGCCAACCTTTTTCCAAAAGTGTGTACCTTCGTCAATTTCCAATTTCTATTTCTGACGGTGCCGAGGGCTTCGAGGGTCCACCCGCCGGAACTTGGAGGTAATGTTGGCGAGGCGTTAGCGAACCGGAAGGAGAGGCCCGCGTGGCGGCCAGGGCCTCGGCCAGGGCAGCGCAGCGTCGGAGAGAAGTGTTCCGGTGGCGTAACAGAAACGATGGCGGCGGCAGTCCCACTACAACCGGCAGGGGCGGGAATAGGAGGGGGTGAGGAAGGGAAATTGCTCCCTCTTCGCCTCCCGAGAGGCCCCTGAAGGTAGGCAATTTTTCTCACCAAGCCCGGTAAGTGGGCAACCTTTCATACAATCAGCCCCTCTTTCCTACCCTCCGCATGGTGAGCCTTGTACCCGCGTTCCACTTGCCAGCTCGCCTTGCGGGCTCAAAACACCTTCTCTGCCCGCACTGAAAAACCAAGGCGTGGTTTTTCAAGCGTGCGATGCACACGCTCTCTTTGAAGAAAACACTGAAAATTCACTAAAGCTTTTAGATCGGGCGTTTCCGGGCTGATTGACATACCGACGGCTTTGAGGCGAACAGAATCATATTACGCTCATTCACTGTGAAAATGTGGTTGTCGACAACATTAAGGATAATTACAACATTAAGGATAATTTTCCTTTCCGGATGGAAGCTTGATTTGCCATGCCCATGCAGAGAGAATAGTCTTGATGGAAATTTCATTTATTCAAGATAAATTATCCATCATTCTCATAAGTGATAATGAATTTCGTAAC